TATGTATATTTATATATATATATATATATATGTATATTTATATATATATATATATATTTATATATATATATATATATATATATATAATATGTTTTGAAATAGATCTGCTTTTCTCTTAAGAATCTGTGAGTGAAGTGGAGGTGCAACAGCAGCAGAAAATCTGTGTTTAAGGAACATCTGGAGGTGAGACCTTGATTCATGGCCGTGTATTAATCATGGGGCGCAGAGCTTTGTGATTCATACACTCCTTGGACAAATTAAATAAAAGGCTTTGAAAGAATCGTTGAGCTCAATTTAAAATCCATTCAACGCATCATGTGAAGATTTCATTATGGGGAGCAAAGTGCAACTAGTTCTTTGAAAAAAGGCAAAGATGACACGTGCTTCTCTTTTTTCTGTTTATTAACTCAAAGGTACATAACTAAATTAAAAATAAACAGTTTCGCATTTAAATATATCAAATAATATATATTAAATATATGATATGCACATAAAACCCAAGTTATTTCCTTTATGGAAATTTGAGAACATTTCTAAGAAAAGTCTGGAAACATGAAATGACAACCAGTGGGGTTTTTTTGTTATCTGTCTATCAAGTGTCTAGATTCCTGGTAATAATAACGTCCTTCTGCACAGTTAGTAACACATGCTGGCATTCCAACGTTTAAACAATACAAGGAGTCCGCGTCCTGACGTTCTTGGTGGCGACCAGTGATGTGGCTGACATTCCTGAGGCCCCGCTGTCTTTCCCTGACTCGGCAAAAGGAAACACTTCTCTTGTCAGTCTTGTCAGTAGGCACGGCATCTCTTTCTTCCCGTTGAACATTTGACCTTTAGCCTGGAAGTTGTAGGCTATGCTGTGGGTGATTCGTGTCATTAGGCGAGTCAGCTCCAGGTTTTGATGGTCCTCCTCTTCTAATAAAGAGCAGAAAGTCTGGAGGAAGATGGAGCCTAAGGGGCTCATGAATGCTCCATAGCCTGATGAAGAACACAGAAGATTAAAAACAATGTTTAAATGTTCACCAAATATCTCAACTGTACTTTGTGAAATCAATAATTCAAAGCTTATGATTTTCTTTAGATCAGCTGGTCACCTGAGAGCTTCCACCGGCTCTTTGAAAGGTTTTATGGGTACGTGCAGAGAATCATTCTACACGTCTATGTCTGTTGATCACAGTTAAAATTTTCTTGTAAGAAAATTCAAGAGTTGTTGCAGAAGGAATGCACATCACGAACATCCAGCAATTACGCGGCATCCCATTTACTTTAGAAACTGGAGCTGGTGTTTGGGAATGACGCCCCATTTAACTGAACCGTGTTCCAGCTGCAACTCGAAGAACAAGTAGTATAAATTACTTGTTGTTCTCAGCACCCAGACTAACCATTAATCCAATAACAATGGATGTATCTACATTCTATGCCCCCAAACATTGTAGTCCTGACAGAAGTAACATAGTCATCGTTGCCATCACTCCTTTAGCACAGTGTTGTGGGGGTGGTACAACCATTCACCAGCAACCTCTACCTGGACCAGCCCTCAGGTCCTGCCTGGTCCAGCTACAGACGCCATTTACCCATTGTTGAGGAAGTTGTCCCCTTTTACAAGTTCCTGCAGAGTTTCCCTGAAGGTTCACTTTTGACTAAGTTCCCTTGACCCTTGCTATGTGAGCGAACCACTTTGATTTCTTTTTCTGCATTATGAAGGAGTCATGCATAAATATAAATAAATATACATAAAACATAAATACTACTGTATATCAGCGCAGCCATCATAATTTTTTTTATGTGCAAGGCAGACATATTGGAATTGGAGGGGGTGCTTCCGATTATTTTTCTAACTTGAAACTTGAAAATTCCAACTTTGTGGTACAAATACATCACGTCATTACTTCAGGAGATCCATGGTTAATTAGTTTAGTGGTCAATTAAAAAAAACAACTAAACTTAATAAAAAAAAACTAAACTTAAAAACATGTTAAGGGTTTTGATCAAGTCCTGATGGTCAGAGTGTATACACTCATACACTCATTTGCACACACTCCCCTCAACCCACCGCCTTCGCTGGCCTCCCTTCTTTTTACCCCCCGGTGCGGTAACCTAGATTGGATGCAAGGCACCAGGTGGCTGTGACGCTCTCTTGGGCGGCATGTGTTAGTGTATGGGACCCCCCCCCACCCACTCCACATGCATCTTATTGTGTCATCTGTATGTTGCTTTATTTTTGTGCTGTGGTTTTTTGCAACCTCACAGTGTCCTGTTAGGAATACAGTGTGAGATGTGATTTTTTTTTTTTACCTCTTCTTTCCCTCGTGTTGCCTTTTCCTTATCTAACAAAAAAAGGCAGCCCCTCTCATGAGGCTGCAGCCTCAGGCACCTCCATCTTCCCATGTCTATGTGTGTTTCTTAAATGGGCTGTCCTGAAATCTAATTTTGTTGTGCTTCGGTGCAATGACAATAAAGGCTGATTCTGATTGTGAGAGGGAGGTAGTGGCTCAAGAGGAAAAGTGGTTGACTGTCAAGTGAACGTTGGGGACTTGAGCCCAGCTTCAGTCTTCTTGAAAGACTAAAAAGCCTTCATCAAGACTTATTTTTATTGTCGCCTTCCAAAACTCCCACCAGATGCTTCTGAGTCAGTACCACTTATTATTAATGCCCATGTTCCAATCAGAAGGTTCTGATCTTGCTGGCTTTGGCAGTTCAAGATTTGTGGTGGAGTTTAAGAAAATGTCATGGATACTCGGTGTATTCTTGACAGTCACCACATTTAGTCTACAGGTTTTTTATAGTAATAGATGTTATAAGTAGTTTGGGTATTTTTAATGGCCAGGAGGAGGTTCTGTGTACAATGGGAGCTTTTGGTTGTCTGGAGGTTTTCATGGCTCTTGAGGTGATTCATTGTGAAGCAGTATAAAAGGTGGTGCGTTGGTTTAGTGGTATCAGAAGAGTTGTGGTTTACCTGGTGCTGTGGCGTACATTACAGCTGTGTCCACTGGGACAGAAAGATACTGTGAGAAGCTGTTGCTCTCTGTCTGGTCATCAGCTGAATCCACCTGCACTCCATCATCCAGAGCGTCTCCTCGACACGCCTGTAGAGAGAGCACACAGAGCGTCACATCTCAGACTGAAAAACGAGTTGTAGATGAGATATTGTGCATAGAAATATTAAAACCGATACTTTAAGATACCTGCATACCTGTATCAAAAACAGTTTGGTCTTTTTCTCCATGTAGTCGTTGTCAAAGTATCTGAAGATACGAGACAGTCGAACTGGCTTCCCGTCAGCTCCGAACACGCAGCCTTCCTGCCCGTGAGACGAGAGGACGGCCAGAAAGCAGTCCTTCACAGGCCGCCGGCTCTCTGCAGCAGAGACACAACCGCAGGCATACCAAGTCATTCACACGCTCCACTCAGTCACAATTACTTACGCACAGAGCAAGTCAAGCAACACGAAGCATGTTGTACACAATGAACAGAGCATCAGCCATTCGTGCACTCACTGCACCTTTTCTTCTTGACGTTTATTTGAACGTACAGCTCACAAACACTGAAGTATGAGGCGTGTGTTTAATCATGGGGGTGTAAACTGAAAAGTCCAAAGCTGAGGACTTCACTGAGGAACACAGCACTTGTTTTTCCTGCTGCCCTGTTCCATTAGTTTGGATTTCTAAAGCCTCTAATCATGACTGTCAGACTGTAAAATTTAATCTATGACTGATAAGCAGCAATAAAACTCCTGCCAAACACTTCACTCCCTATCCTGAACCTATGAACACTGAAATGCTCATGTAATGAATGCAACATTATAGAAACTAAAACATGTGCACAATGATAATACTCATGTGACATCTAGAGATGCTGGGTATTAGATGGTACCCAGACCTTTAGAATTTAGCATTTCATACTTTTACCATCATGGGATGTTTACCTATATACATATACATACATATAAACGAAAGTC